CGGGAAGAGAACTAACCATCGGTCGAGAGGCGCTAGGTGAAATGAATGAGAATGGAGAATTGTTTGCAGAATTCTGTGCATTCAACGATTTGGTGATTGGAGGCAGTGTGTTCAGGCACAAGGATATCCACAAAGCGACATGGACTTCACCAGATGGACACACTAAAAATCAAATCGACTTTATCTCAATCTCAAGAAAATGGAGACGCAGTCTACTTAACACAAGGTCAAGAAGAGGAGCAGATGTAGGCTCAGACCACTCACTATCTAGTGCAAGGAACCTAACTTCCAAATCAAGTTAAAAGCCTTCAAGGAAGCTGGTGATAGACCTCAATTCAAGTACAACACTCGGAAACTGAAGGATGAAACTACAAAGGAGATCTTCAAGGCAGCCATCAAGACAAAATGGGAGACATCGAGGGACATCCCTGAAGAAAGCTGTGTGGAAGAACACTGGAAGTCTTTGAAAGCTATGTGGAAAGAAACCTGCACAACAGTATTAGGAAGGAAGAAGAAAGAAGACAAGGAATGGATCTCGACGGATACATGGAAGCTGATAGAGCAGGGAGAGGAGGATGGTGAAGCAGAAGATAAACCAGTGCAAGGATGCTCAACGACAAGAGGAACTGAGCACAATGTATAAAACACTGGACAAAGAAGTGAAGAAGAGTGCACGCAAAGACAAAAGACACTTCTACGAAACACTGGCAAGTGAAGCAGAACAAGCTGCAGGTAAGAGAGACCTGACGACATTGTATCAAATAACCAGGTTGCTATCAGGGAAGAGACCAACACAGATGAAACCAATAAAAGATGAAGAAGGGAATTTAATTACAAAAGAAGAGAAACAGAGGAAACGATGGGCCGACCACTTCAAGAAGCTCTTGAATCGACCACCACCTGCACTTCGTCCAGAAATACCACCTGCAGCCGCTGAATTACAAGTGAACATTAATCCCCCAACGAAAATGGAAGTCCTGAACGCCATAAAGCTACTGAAATGCGGGAAAGCAGCAGGACCAGATGGAATACCGCCAGAAGCACTGAGAACAGATGCAGAGGCAACAGCGGACATGCTCACACCACTATTGCAGAAGGTGTGGAAGGAAGAGAAGGTACCTGGTGATTGGAAGAAGGGTTACCTTGTCAAACTGCCGAAGAAGGGAGACCTCAGTGTTTGCAAGAACTGGCGCGGAATCACTCTCCTGTCCACCCCAAGTAAAATATTAAGCCGCATCATCCTGGAGAGGCTTAAAGACGCACTGGATTCAAAACTGCGACCGGAACAGGCAGGCTTCAGGAAGTACAAATCATGTGCAGACCAAATTGCAACACTTCGTATCATCATAGAACAGAGCGTAGAATGGCAATCAGCTCTCTACCTCAACTTCATCGACTTTGAGAAGGCCTTTGACAGCGTCGACCGAGAAGTAATTTGGAAACTGCTTCAATACTACGGAGTACCGCAAACCTTTATCCGCCTCATTCAACAACTATATGAAGAGGCCACATGCCAAGTAATCCACAATGGGAAGCTCAGTGATGCCTTTGAAGTGAGGACAGGAGTGAAACAAGGTAGCCTACTATCCCCCATGATATTCCTTATTGTGGTGGACTGGATCATGCAGCAAACAGTGGGGAGCGAGAAGAGGGAGATACGCTGGACGACGGAAAAGAACCTAGAAGACTTGGATTTCGCCGATGACTTATGCCTAATGTCACACAAACTTGAAGATCTGCAGGCAAAAACTAACAAGTTGACAGAAGAGGCAGCTAAGACGGGACTTCAGGTGAATATAGAGAAGACAGAAGTGATGAAGATACCGCACCACCACCATCAACAACAACAACAAACTCCAATCACCGTCAACGGGAGAAACTTGAAGGAAGTAACCTCCTTCACTTATCTAGGAAGCACTGTTTCAACTACAGGCGGGACGGACGAGGACGTCAAAGTCAGAATCGGAAAAGCAAGACAGGCATTCATTAGCCTGAAACCAGTGTGGAGATCTTCTGCACTCAGCATGTGGAACAAGATACGGATTTTCAACACCAACGTCAAGTCAGTGCTCTTGTATGGCTCAGAGACTTGGCGCGTCACGAAAGGCATTTCCAATAAACTACAGACATTCATCAACAACTGCTTACGCTCGCTGCTGAAGATCAGATGGCCAGAAAGAATAAGCAACAAGGAACTCTGGCAACGAACCAACCAAGAACCTATCACGCAACAAATATGCAGGAAGAAGTGGAGATGGATTGGCCATGCACTGAGAAGGCCGACTGAGGACATCACGCGTCAGGCCCTCGAGTGGAACCCCCATGGGAAGCGACGAGTTGGACGTCCGAGGGTGACATGGAGGAGGTCATGCGAGGAGGAAATGAGAGGTTGTGGGCTGTCGTGGAACCAGGTTCAAAAGATCTCAGAGAACAGAGGTCACTGGAGGCGTGCTACCGAAGCCCTATGTTCCACTAGGAACCCAAGGGACTAATAATAATAATAATAATAGTCTACGAGAGTGTAGATCCCTATACATGACTGTATTAATCCACACGGTTAGTGGTGTATCACTCACTTTACTAAGAGACTTAAAAATCCTTTTTATGAAACCCAAGAATTAATTAGCAGCAACAATAAGTGAGTAAAGGTACAACACAGAAATTGATGAGACGTAAGAAAATAAGCTGATTTATCCCAGACAGTCTGGGTTTCCTTACATAGAAGGTCAAGTGAAGGATTTTCCTGGAAATCACTAAGATATGAAGGGATCAAAAAAGATCAGAAGAAAAGCATAAGCCAAGATGGATCACGCTTGCTACATTCTCTATAACACAGCCATCTATCAAAGAAGAGTCATGAGACTGAAGCAATGTGTGAAGGTCTTCCTTTTTCAGATCTTAAGTTATAATAAACCATCTGACATGTGAAGGGTGTGAGTATGACGTCATTCAAGGAAGACCAATAACCAATTTCTTTCAAGGCGTTATTAAACTGGGAGCAATTTGAAGATTAGGTGATCGACATGAATACTGTCAGGTCATCAGCATACTTAACAAAGTTGTACTTAGTTGAGTTTAGTAAGTCATTCAAAAAGAAAGAGATGAGGAAAGAAGAAAGAACATCAGTTCTAGGCACACCTGCTTCACTAAGCAGTGAATTAGAGCGTCTCCTTCTGTATGGAGTATACTGTCTTCTTTCATAAAAATATGAATCAGACCAGTTTTTAGTTTAGGACTCAATGTGAGTACTGGGAAGCTTGTTGAATAAGTGAGGTCAAAACGACAGAGTGAAAGGCAGAAGTATTGTCTAAGAAGGCAGATCTAGCATACTCAGTACCTTTGTCCAATCTGGCGATGATTTATGATGTGACACAACTGTACCATCTAAGGTACTCCTTCTGCGTTTGTAGAGGAATTGATTTGGATCTCTGAAAGCCTCCAAAGCAGGTTCAAGTGCACAAAACAATAGTTTTTTTAATTGTTTTTAGGAATGATGAAGTTATTGCAGTCGGTCAAAATTTCACTTTTGCTCCAAAATGTATGAACTTAGGTACCGAAATTATTTTAATTTCCTTCTAGGTATCTGGCACGTTATTTCTAGCAAAACGACTCTTTGAAGATGTTTGTAAGTGAATGATGTGGAATTTACGCACATTTCATAAAAAGGATACCTAATATGGCATTAGGTTCGGAGTATTACGAAGGTCTTATTGATTTTAGGCAGTTGAACACATCTGTTTCATTGAATTTAGGAAAATTGCATTCTGTTATACGTGAAGAACTAGATAAGATAACAATCGTGGGTTTATGTATGAATGACTCGTTTAATGTACACACAATTTCGCACGTTTCATTTCTGAGTTTTATCTTTCCAGTATGATCTGCAAAAAGTCTCCATATACTAGAAGGGTTTTTATATGACTTGAGCTTTTTTTCAGACTTTATAAGGTAGTCAAGTTGTTTAACACCAGCATTATCCTTCGGTTTGTATTTATCATAGCCAATTTACTCAAAACTGCAATAAATCTTAAGTTGGCTTATAATCACTATAAAGTTATGAATGTAGATCCTACCTACATGTTCTGCCTTGTCCTATCACATTATGAGAAGCCTTCATCTCACTCTTCAATTATTTAGCATTTCCTCTCTTAGGAATCATAAAATCTGAGATTTTTTTGAGAATCCAAAACAATATGTCACTTGTGACCCAGATAGCTCATCCACCACACTTTTTATGATGAAATAGGTTGCTTTTAAATCCCACAAAAAGCTTATGAATGTTAACTGACCAAGGTCAAAAAGTCTGTTAAATTGACCTTCATTATTGAACACGAAATATATTATAACTGTACTCATAGTATAGTAACTAAAAGATGGACTGTAGTAGCATACTATGATGTCATTCAATTACCGATTGTTTCGAAATACATAAAATATTTTACTTCATTGTTACATGTTGGAAATCAATCGGCTGGATGCCTTGTACTTTGGTTTCACGCTTATCTACAACCATAAGGAAACTCCCTTTCCCCCCCCCCCCGCCCAACTGCTGCTGTTGGACACTTTATTATTGAGCTATTCAGGCCTCGACTGGATCATGTACAAGGATTATTCATCAAAGTCTGACCCATCTAGTTGTCTAGTCTATAGGGCTCAGCACTGACTACAGTCTACCAATCAAGATTGTGGTCTATTTTTGTATCATTTTGGCATCAGTTGGCGACTGATAGACTTTAGTCAATGGTGAGCCCTGTGGACCAGACAGTTAAATGTGTTACCCACTGGTAACCTTTTTATGTTAACCCTCCATTCCTAAAGTAATTTTCTGTTGTGTAAAACATAACAGTAAGGAATTTATATTAAATTTTACTTGATACTAAAACTTGACATTTGAAAAAAACAATGGTTTGTTTAAATACATTACATTAAAATCACTAATTTCTAAGTTTACCACAATAATAACAAATAATTATGATGACTAATATTATTGAAATATAGAATTATTTTCCTAAACGTTGAGAATAAACTCCATTTCGTTTTGCTACACGATCTGCAAGATAATAACTCCAAAATGATGCTGACAATGGTGTGATCTGAGAAGTTGGATCTAGTATTTTTCCACTATTACCATCATCTTCATTGAAATTCCAAGTGAGTAATGCATCATTTTGATTTCTTGTAAAAAAACCCTCTATGCAATTCAGTAAGGATATTAGTAGGATAAGTAATGATATTGTTAGATATATTGACTGTAAATCAAGTTTCCTACTCATATTTGTTAAATTATTCTTCGAATATATTCAACTGTAAAAGTTTGAAAAACAATTGATAGTTTATTATGGATGAATATAGTTAAATTAAAGCTACAAAGCTACAACAATGACTAGAAGAAATCCTGTTCTTCATCTTTATTGTTACTTGCTAAACAGTAAGGAAGGATACTGATACTCTCACTAGTCCCAATTATTTGACTTTACTTTTATTCAGAATAATTTGATAACTCAATAAATACCTTGATGAAATCGAGCCATATAAGTTCCCGTGATATCATCACTACTTTCAGCTTTTCTATTGTAGCGGACTGGATCATGCAACAAACAGTGAGGAGCGAGAAGAGGGAGATACGCTGGCTGGACCTGGGAAAAGAACCTAGATGACTTGGATTTCGCCGATAATGACTTGTGTCTGATGTCATACAAACTTGAAGATCTACAGACAAACACTAACAAGTTGACAGAAGAGGCAGGGTAGAGAAGATGGGACTTCAAGTGAATATATAGAGAAGACAGAGGTGATGAAGATAACCAACCAACAACACCAATAACAACAACAAGCTCCAACCATCATCAACGGGAGAAACTTAAAGGAAATAGCCTCCTTCACCTATATAGGCAGCACTGTTTCAACTACAGGCGGCGGTGGCGGCACAGACGAGGATGTCAAAGTCAGAATCGGAAAAGCAAAACAGACATTCATTAACCTGAAACCAGTGTGGAGATCTTCTGCACTCAGCATGTGGAACAAAATCCAGATTTTCAACACCAACCCAGTCAAGTCAGTGCTTCTGTGTGGTTCAAAAACTTAACGCGTTACGAAAGGGATTTCCAACAAACTACCGACATTCATCAACAACTGCCACCTACACTGGCTCGTTACTGAACATCAGATGGCTAAGATAATATGAATAAGCAACAAAGAACTCTGGGAACGAACTAAACAAGAACCTATCACTCAACAAATTTGCAGAGGAAGATAGTGGAGATGGATTGGGCAAGCATTGAGAAGGCCGATTGGGGATATCACGCATCAGGCCAGACCCTCGAGTGGAACCCAGATGGGAATCGACGAGTTGGGTGTCCGAGTGGAGGGTGACATGGAGGAGGTGGCATGAAGAGGAAATGAGGGGTTGTGGGCTGTCATGGAACCAGGTTGAAAAGATTTCAGAGAAGAGAGTGTAGTGGAGACGTGTTACTGAAGCCTTTCGTTCCATTAGGAACCCAAGGGACAAATAATAAATAATAATAATCAGCGTTTCTCAACTGGTATTATAGATGATGAGAAGAAATTCACTGAAGCTTCTTCTTACGAGTTCCCACCAGTTCGCAAATATTCACATTCTCAGCTACTGATATTTTCCGTCATCTCTACTATACAGTGAAAAATATCTACTACTGAGAATGAGGATTAAGTTTGTTAAAGAATGAACAACGTGGAACGTATCTCATAATTGACAGGCACAAACGTGAATTATGCATAACTGTTGATACTGTTCACAAATGAGACATTCTTCTGGTTCCTTCAGATAATAGACTTACATTCAACGTATTACCATCTTTCATTGGAGCTACGCCTTGTTGACTTGCGGTCATGGGTTCGAAAACCTTTCTACTTACCAAAGTTTTTCGACAAGTATATAATATATCATTATCCCTCACAAGAAATGTGTAACTCACTACCTTGTATACAAATGTGCACAAGGTTATGAAGTGCATTCCGGTTTCTAAAAATCGAATTCCAGTCATACAGTTTTAGTGCTTTTAACTCTGATCGTTAAAAGTTGTAAACAGAAGTACTAACAAATCAATCAGTAGACCTATTCCCAGATGAATTCATCAAATAACGTTTGAATAGATACGAAATTTCTTCATCAAAGCTATATATTAAAGTATCGTAGAGCTACTTTAAAGGTTACGCTAACAATTGCTGATATAATGAATCATGTTTCTTTATTTTGAGAATAACTACCTTTCCAACCAAAATACCGAGAGGTGACCTTTATTATTTGAATAATAAAGCCCTGATAACATCCCTTTCTAACTCAGTCATTTTTTGATAGTGGTTGGTGTTAATTAGTCGACTTCAAGTGGTAATGACAATCTCTGAATATAGATTACAAGTATCAAAGAGGTTGTAAGTATTTCAAAATTAGCCGAACAACTTTGTTCTAGAATTCAATGCTATTGCTTACTGTTTATTTAAAGTGAATGACCTCAAATGTAATGGAATTCGTTCCTCATTAATTTCCACTTAAGTATTTCCGTATCCTTATTCCCTCCTCACACACACTTTTTTATCAAAATACCCAGAACAATTATGTAATGTAACCAAGTGTACAGTATCTAACGTTGGGTACTATGTGAACTCAGCCGACACTCTCTCATATTAAGATACTTAGCGTCACGATGCAATTTGATTTAAATTGCAAAGCTGTTGGTCAGCATCATAAAGCAGCAATAAATGATACAACTTGGTAACATCACTTCAATAAAGGTTACAGGTACACTTCACTAAAGTGTACCAATAAGCATTAAACGTGGATTCAGAAATTTTTTACAAATTACTTGCTTACAAACACCCTTGACATGCATTCTTGACCTTAAAAAACACTTAAAAGCATGTACTATTCAAACATTTCACAATCATGTGAACCGAAAATGACTTGGTACCAATCTGAATAAAACAACTCCATTCTGAAATGATCTAGCTTTGATTTGTATTTCACTATACCAGACAGTAATTCAGGAGTGATTCTAAGCCAAGCATCGCCACAGTTTACCATTCCATAGTCATAAAACATGTAAGTTTCAGAATTCACAGCATGTTTGTCACTACTACTATTACTACTACTACTACTACTACTACTACTACTACTACTACTACTACTACTACTACTACTACTACTACTACTACTACTACTAATCACCACTGTTAATGATAATAATAGCAATAAATTACGATCTTTAGGCTATCGATAATACAGGAATCAAAAAGTAGTTTCTGGCTTTCAATCATCGAGTTTCAGGGAGGTTTTTGGTTAAAATATTATGTTTCTTCAGCGTATGTAAAGGGCACTGATGATATTTCATTTCATGAACAAGGCAATCAGATACATTTTTTATGTGAGGACTAATGATACTGTATACCTATCTAAACTTAGTTAGGTTAATCGATTTACTAACTACAAATCTATCGCATGAATATCAGCTGAATAAACCGTTGACCTAGAGATATAATTTTTCAGGTGGAGTTCCATATTAGATTTGTAACGCAGTGATAGTGTACTATTTACTGGATGACTATTCTCATAATCATATCAATGTAATCACACTACTCTCAACAACCGACTTTGATAGTTCTGTCGCTTGATATTATTCTGTTTCAGGGGTAATAAAATTTTCCATATTTCTGGTTTGCCTGTTGAGGCATTCTTGTTACATGTGTTGGGTCTTGATTCGATGATCAAAGATTCAGTTACTAATCTGTCTCTCCCCCCACCTAATTATATTGGACTAAAGTACAGTGCTTTTATCCCATCCTATTGTGTGGTTGTGTGTTAATGTGTGCACTACAATAACCGACGTTTTCTTTTCGATTATTAATCTTATTCGTGTCTGCCATTCCATATTTAACTAAATTCCTATGTCCAACTTATCTAACTGACCCCGATTGGCTAGTTTGACCTATGTTTGACCTAACTCAGAGTCATAACATCAAATTTGATAGATTAGATTATTTTGCCGAATTGGTTCTGTCAGATCCTTAAGCCATCCGACAAGGCTTATCTGTGAATGAGCTAGTAGGTTTAAATGTCATCCTAATTTCAGCTTTGTTGTGGATCCTATGCAAGGTTTATGATATACGTTCCTCATGTGGTAACACAATGGAGGCTGTGAACTCCTTTCTACTTGAGTTGTCGTTATTATCTGTCCTCGTGTTACCGTTATTATTTAGTTTCTTTTGTGTTCGTACAAATTTCTTAAGAAACTGCAGAGGATAATTATTAACGCATCTTTTATATGCTTCAGTTCCTTGTTGAGGTTCTTGAACTAACTAGTCAGTTTTCTAACTCTATCATCGAGACATTTCACTAAACCTGCCTTAACTGACATCGGATGAGATGACATGAAGTCTAGATACCTGTTGGAATGTGTTGGTTTTCTGTAGACAGAAGTATCCAAATCACCATCTATCCTTCATTTTATTCTCCAATCTAACGAAGCTAATTCTCCTTGTTCGTTTCCCACCTTGTGAATGGATTGAATTGCGCCTACTACCGAGTTTATATGTGTGAGCAGATTATCGATATGTTCCAATTTCAACACAGTAACTGTGTCATCCACATATCACCACCATATCTTAGGTGCAGGACCATACATTCGTAAAGCCATATCTTCTTAACTATCCATGAATATATCTGCTACGATGTAGGATATTAGTGATCTTATCGTTAATCCTTCAGATATTGAAAGGAGTGTGCTTACATTAATAAGATTATGAGAAATAACTTATCCTAGAACCGTCATCCGGTAAGTAATACTGTGTCACTTTATGTGTTATAAATCAAATAAACAAATCCAATATGGGGTTACATTCTACCAAGTTTTACACTTAAAATAATTTTTTTGAACGTATTCCTGACAAAAGTGAGGACTACTCTAAAATGCTGTGAACTTATGTTCTACAAAGAGTCATCATTGTATAAACGTTGTCATACTTGATATTATAATGATGACTTCTAGGTTATTTCTTAACAGAGTTCGCTACTTATATGCGAACCATCTTACATATTGAGCTTTTGTTGCGCTTGTTAAGGATGATTTACATCAATCAAAAAGGATGCAGCAATTATTCTTCTTGTGTCAATAAGAAGTCCTGTCAATGAAAACAAAGGGTTCATTTTGGAACCCTTTCCTCAGTTCCTGCTGATAACCAGTGACCAACAAATGAAACGCTATGCTGAAATATTACACTCTGTTTTCAGTTCTAACCCTGA